AAGTAGCGTAATCAGGAAAACAGGTGGATTGTGGTGGTTTAAGCAGACCAATAATAATGGAATTTTAGAGGTCAGACATGATAGACATGTGTAGGACAATGCTGTAATCTGCTGAAGGATTATACTCAAGTGATGCACATCAGCTCTTCTTTGCTCAAGGTGAAGATGTGCCACAGAGAATTGGAACTCACACTTTGCCAGTGTCACGTTCCCCCCTTGGGCCCTTGACACAAAGTCACATTGCAAAATGTCAGAAGGAAGTTCTCTCTTTGCACTTCCAGAAATTAAAAATAAAGAACAAAAAACAGGGAACAGCAGTAGCTTTAAACAGCAAATCAGGAGCCAGAATCTATAAACATAAAAGACACAGCTGCCCGTACACACGATGCTGGCTAGTATTAGAGTGCAGGATAAATCCAAACTTTTTTTTCATTTGAACAAGAAATCATGTCATGACCCTCTGGTCATGAGTACTGTTTATTCATACTAGATCCTGTGTGGAAGTATCCCCCCCCCCCGCGCCTTTTCTTTCAAATGACCAGACTATGTGAAGTTAAGAGGGTAAAGAAAATTGATGTGGCGCTATTCATTATGAATATGTAGATCTTCAAAGTGCAAAACAGAGGCACTGTTGCTGTTAACTATACCAAAATCCCCTCTTCTTTTGACACTCTTATAATGATCCAGCTTGAGCCTGTCAGATCCTAAGATCTTCCTTAGAATATGAAAGGGGAATAGGTCTTTTTCTGCAGATCTAGGCAAAGTAGCATAAAGATCCCACAACAAAGGAGGGATTAAGGTTTTCTGGCCACAGGGGCTTGCCACCACTTTATACTTTTCAGCCCTCCAACTACCACACAACTCTGTCCAGCTAATACAGCATCAGAGCCTTTGCTTACCAATGGGCAGGGCCACAGTTGTTATGTGAACTGCAGCTTTATAAAAGAAGACAATTTCAAGGAAGCACTCTGTGGTGCAACATCCTCCCATTAGCCTCACAATCTCTGACCTCCATGTCTGTACTCACAGACTTTGTTATTGAATCTACTCAAAGCATATGACAGCTGAGTACCTAAAGGCTGCAGAGAGAACTTCAGTTTGTCGTCTTGGAATTCTGCTTATCCCTTGCCTAGCTGTTCTACTAAACTGCCTGGGAATCTTGCCATTTGCACTATGAGTGGACAGAGTACAGCCTGGCCTTATAGTGTACGTCCAGAATACTATTTTCCAATGCACACAAGCTTTACATTCACTAATATTACAATGAAAAGAGCATGAAGCACAAGACAGCAATACTATATGCACTGTCAAGAATTCAAGCACCTAACAATATACCTTTCTACACAATGATTCTGAAGTTAACTGAAATATAAATATGCAGAAATATATCCACAGTGTGCTTTTAATTCATTATCTCCAAAACATAATTACTGCTGTGCAAACCACATATCTTCAGTTTGCAAGCCTGAACTATAATGCTAGCGATTTCTGAATTTCTCTTTTCAGTTAGGTCTGGCATGTGATGCACAGCTGTTTTAATGGCAATGCTTCTTGGAGATGTTCTCCTCCATGGGCACAGTGGTGTAAAGTGCTTGACTATTATGTATTCCAGTAGGGACTTGGATTATTTATCCCCTCTGAAGGCTTTGAACAACTTGAAATCTACTATAATAGGGTGCTCTGTTTTGCACTCTAATTTAGGACTAGTTCAGACATTGAAAAATGTTCCATTGGAGGATGCAGCTATCATTGAGGTCACATTTGCACAGCAAGGCTAAGTCTTCTGTCAACACAGCTGTAGCATCTCTGTACTTCCTCAATCTTCCGCATGTTTTGTAATCACTGTTATCAAAGGATCATCTTCAGGGTAGTTGCACCTCTTTTCCTTGGATTGCTTGGACCACACATTACATTCTTTATACAGAGGCATGGTGAATGGATAACTAAGGTGCTCTGTGCAACAGATCACTCTGAATGTATCAAGAGGCTATAAATGGCTGCCCTACCTGGGTTCCTCTGTCTTAGAGCAGACCAATGGCTGGTAAAACGTATTGCCCTGACTCATAAACAACATCCTTTGTTCCTCCCTCCCTTCATCACTCATGTTTCTCCTCACGTTGCTTGTGATTTAAAACAAAAAACAAAAAAACTCTGTGGTAACTAAACTCTTTCATCCAGCATTTTTACCATTAGTCTGTTCAGAAAAACAGGTGCTGTCTCAATTGCTCCACAATTCTTGTTCTGTGTGCCATTCACTGTCTGCTAGTAATGGTTTGGACAGCACTTAAATAAATATTTTAAAATGTATATTTCTCTTATAGACACTGCAGGGCAAACACAGCACCTCAGAGGAAGAGAGAAGTCATAATAGGCCAAAATGAGAGGGGCTTTCTTAAACCAAGAAAACATTCTCTTTTTTTTAGCTGAGAGAAAACGATGCCATCAGACTCTCAAGGAAAAGACTTGCAGTCTTAATTAAAACATCCTCTGTGTATGTACTCCATGCTATAAATGACAATGTACAAGCTTACACATGAATTCTCAATTTTCTTCAAAGTCTACTCTTGGCAATGCACCTAGGCTAATATTTGTCTGCTTCTTAACATGCAAACGATACTACAGTCATTTCTGTTCAGTGACATTATTTTTCTGACAGGTAATCTTTCCCCTTTGCCATTTCTTCTAATTATATTCTGTTTTCTCTTCTTCTTAGAGTGTGGAGAGGTTTGGAATTTCCTTAATTAGTACAGCAATTTGCTAAATTTTGTTTCTACCTTTTTACAGGATTTTAATCAAGTTTAGCATGGCACTGATTTGATATGCCATACAAATTACCACTACAAGCTCCAGATGCCAAGTTTTAAAATATTTTCATCAGTTTCTTGGATGACATTCACTCTGTACTTCAACCCATTGATAAATTGCCACAATCTAATTCAAGGCTTATATCTAAAGCAAATATATTTGAAATACTTATTTCAAACATATTGAAAATAAATAAAACTTACTTCTAAGTAATAAGTGCTGAATAATTTAGTTGGTTGGAAATAGTGCTTCTTGTGTTAATGGAAAGAACTTCATGAAGGCCCCGGTCACATGGAAAATTAGCTGTGTGATAGGGACAGCTGCTGTGCGGATTTTATGGGCGCGATCACATGTGAACATCTGGCAAGTGTCCCACACCTGTAGGCAACCCGTAGCACCCGGCCGAAGAAGCGGAGTTAAAAGATAGTAGGGAAAGTGCAGTACTTTCCGGAAAATGTGCAGCGCAGGCGGGCGACAGATCATGGAAGTGCTGGTATCCCGTAGCATCAGGCGCCCGTCTGCATCCCGTTTCACACCGGATGTTTTGTTTAAGCCTCCATGGTATGCACACAAACATGGAACTGTGCATGCCCACTGTTCTATGGATTCACTTGCGTGGTCATGTGCAGGCGGGACCTCTGGCTGGAAACAAAAATGCCCATGAGGCCGGGAAGCGGCAGCTTGCGATCGCCGTGTGTGTGATCACACCATGCCGCTTCTCCCCCCCACACACATTGCCACACTTCACTGTCGATGTGTGATTGCAACTGGGGGCATGTGCGTGGAGCATCGGGGGAAACGGCTGATCGTGATACCGCGCTTCATTTAGCTCCAGAGCAAATAGCCTCACTTCCCCCATGGATTATCTCGCTTGTGTGACCAGGGCCAAACATAACTATTTCTATATATAACAGCACAGTTTGATAGGAACTACTCAAGTCTTCTGCAAATTTATCAGGCATACGTGGAATATCTCCTACATTTATAGACATGCTAAATAATGATAGGAGAGCTCACTGACTTCCAGCTCAGTTTATAATTAGCTTGGTTGTGCCAGCTTTTCTTGATGGGATCTCAGAATACATGTTTGTAATACTGGAGCTTACCAGCTGTCCCATCATCCCCCCCATCCAAATTAACCTTTCAGAAATATGGGAGTAGGGAGGGCTGGTAGAGAATGCTTAGAGAAGTGGCAAAGGACCTCAACAGTAAGGCAGAGAGCACCAGGGGCCACCTAGCAGTTCCCAGTGCCTCACAGTTTAATCCATTGAGCAAAGAAGCATTGGGAACTCCATTTCACTGATTCCCTGATATGAACAGATGCTATGTGTGAACTCTAAGGCCTTAAAAGGTCTCTTACATTGCTAAATTTTTGCTCCTTTTCACACAGATACATTTTGGGGAAAGGTGAGCAGCAGTAAGCCCACTATGAACCAGACCTACACTTTGATGGAGCAGCTGTCTCAATTTTCAAAAGGCTCAGGAAGCTGACCTCTGGAGTCCACCATTATATGGACTTCAGTGTAATCACGAGCATTAGAGTAAGATGCTTGTAATTCTAATTATATCGGTTTCAGAGGTCAGGCCTAATACCTATTTGTCCTTGTGTATAAGATATTGTAATGCCAGAGAATCTCAAAAAATTGATCAACCAAGTAGTGTCTGACTCACTGACACATGTCCTTCCACAAAGAGCACTTTCGTTGTGGAAGTGAGTGATTGTACAAGTAATCCATCTGATCGTTTGAGTCAAGACTGTAAAGACAGAAACAGCTTTCCTAGGAGACATTTAATATTACTCAAGGTGAAATAAGGGAGCAGAATGTCTTAAAACCACAACTTCAAGGATCTAGGATGAAGAATACTGGCCATATAACTTGTAGTTTTTTCTCATGCACATCCAAGGGCAGTTAAAAATATGAGTGACACAGCTAAAAAAAAATTGGGAGTGTGGTAATCATGCAGATTGCAATTCCTCTCCCCCCACCCATTGTGAATGATTTCTCAAGGCCAGAATACAGACTACAAGGACATGAGATGGCTATTTCTAGCACCCAAACCTTGAAATGGGAGGTGAGTGGCACTTCTCAGGGGCCATTTTTGGTCACAAAGCCCCAGTTTGTGATCCCTAAAATCCAGACATTCATAGATTTAAAAATATGAACAAAGAAGTTAAGATTCCATTTTTTCTTTACCTTCAGCTCATCTGCATCATAGAAGTCTATCCGAACTGCAGGGACCATCCACGTCTGGAAGAGGGTCGCCAGGATCTGTTTTGCAATTGCATCTGCAATGAGGTGGAAGTGAAGAGGGTTCCGCCTGTTGGAAAGCAAAAGAGAGAAAGAACACTTGTAAATGCTTCAGACTCGACATAAAAGAAGCTCTCCCTCTTTACAAACTTTACAACCTACACCATTTCATAATAGTTGGGTACAACCATACAATCTACTGGGATACATTTTTAAAGTTCCATTTTAATCCAGCTATGGTTTGAAAACGCAGCTCATAACATCTAATTTGCTCCTTTTCAAAGGCGACTAATTCACTCCTACTTTGGGTATTTAAATAACTCATATGATTTGTACCAAAGGTTCTGAATCATCTTAGCACATTTCGTGTGATGATAACATTTTTGTCTATGACAGATGGAAAAGAGAAGATTTTTTTAAAAAGTCACTAACTGGCACTGCCACATCTGTATGCTTACGGTGGGCTTGTATATTCTTAAGGCAAAACAGGGCATCACTCCAGAACATCAGTGGGAAGAAACCATATGGATCAGGTGACAGATATAGTTATTTCCCATGTCAATCAGATGAGATCTTGCTGGAGCATGCACAGATTCAGTTCCCATGCCTTTCTGACAACATATGAATCTGCCCTTCGTAAGTTCAATTGCGTTTCACACAGGCAACAGTCATAGAGGAATTAACAAGGTCTTGGACAATTGTTTTGATACAAGGCAATACTGAGTAGAGTGAAAGTTGTCTGGAAATGACTATAAATCCATTATGTTCATCCTTCCAAACCAGAGATATAGAGCGCTTTAAAAATATAACAAGTGAAGTCAATATAACATCATAACTGGCACAGTTGCATAAGAAATCAACCCAACATCCTGAACTGGACTTTTAATAAACACTGAGGGTATTTCAGAAGCAACTCTGTCTGAACTGCCTTTTTGTGACTTATAGTGCTCCCGATATGCACTGTATGTGAACCACACAAATGCAGCTCATCATTGGCAGGAGGCAACACAGGAACAATGTAGCAAAACTACAGAGACACTAAAGAACGGAAGGAGTGATACTGGACCAGCCTCAGGACATCTGCATATATACAGAAACTCCTGTTAATAAAATGAAGCCAATGCAACATATCTAAAAGGGCTTGTTCTTATCATCATTGCAACAATAGTTGATTCTAATATCTGCTATATTCAATTAGAATAGCTTCACCAGATATGCTATGCTCTGAACAAAGGTGCAAAAAGGTACTATAAGAACAATAATACAGAATCAAAAGCTCATAAATTTGAGCCTGCCTGCATTTAAACTCAAAAGATCAAGAAACTTAAACTAAAACCACACTGACACACTTATCGACATCCACCTAAAAGACTTTAGGGAATCATAGAGACGAGAACAGGCCAGGAACAAAACACATAACTATAGTTTGCCTACTGCTGAGTGTTACTCAGCCAGTTTGGTGTAGTGGTTAAGTGTGTGGACTCTAATCTGGGAGAACCAGGTTTGATTCCCCACTCCTCCACTTGCAGCTGCTGAATGACCTTGGGCAAGCCATAGTTCTGATAAGAGCTGTTCTTGAAAAAGAGCAGTTTCTGTCAAGAGCTCTCTCAGCCCCACCCACCTCACAGGGTGTCTGTTGTGGGGAGGGGAAGGGAAAGGAATTTGTAAGCCACTCTGAGACACCTTTGGGTAGTGAAGGGCGGGGTATAAATCCAATCTCCTCC